TCTCTCAAATAAATAATCTTAAAAAAAAAGAATTAATGTGAAAAAATAAAATCACAATGAACTAGGAAAAACTAGAGGTGACTATTTACCTGAACTCAGGATGGAGAAAGCCTTTCATAAAGGAAAAGGTTACAAATACAAAGAGTGATGAGTCAACTATAAGTTTAAAACATCTGTTTGAGGGCGCCTGGGTGGCTCAGTTGGTTAAGCGACTGCCTTCGGCTCAGGTCATGATCCTGGAGTCCCTGGATCGAGTCCCGCATCGGGCTCCCTGCTCGGCAGGGAGTCTGCTTCTCCCTCTAACCCTCCTCCCTCTCATGCTCTCTGTCTCTCATTCTCTCTCTCTCAAATTAAAAAAAAAAAAAATTTTAAAAAAAAAAAACATCTGTTTGAAAAATAGAAAAAAAAAAAACCTACAAAATTAAAATGCAAACGAAAAACCGGAAAAATATTTATAAATTATAAGACAGAGAAATGTCCTTAACATATAAAGAACTCTTTCAAAACTAAAAGAAAAAAATGCACACTTTGATATAAAAAGAGCAAAGAACATTAATAAGGCAATAAACACACTCTAAAAACATTCAATCTCCTTCAATAAATCACAGCATCAAAAGGCAGAGCGAAGTTGGGGTAACTTCAGAGGCATAACGACCAAATTCAATGAGTAGACCTTGTCTGAATCCAGGTTCAAGCAAACCAACTTGAAAACAACACTTTGAGACAATGGTGAAATTGAATAGGAACTGGGTATTAGGTGATAATAAGGAATTCATGTTAATATTGCTAGGTGTGATAATGGTATGGTAATTATATAAGAAAATATCCTTTTTGCTCCCTCTCTGGGCTCAGACCTAGTTTGTGGTGACATGGCTAAACAGACCAAGAAGGTCAGAATCATTGGTTCATGTGAGACCCATTATGGTGCCTCTCGCAGGAAAACGGTGAAAAAGACTGAAATAAGCCAGCATGCCAACCACACTTGCTCCTTCTGTGCAACAATCAAGATGAAAAGACGAGCTGTGGGGAGCTGGCATTGTGGTTCCTGCATGCAAAGAGTGGCTGGTGGGGCTCAGACCTACAGTATCGCCCTGCAGTCACAGTAAAGTCGGCGGCCATCAGAACCTCGAAGGACGTGAGAGACCAGCAAAAGCTCTACCATCTGAAACATTACTAGCCTAAAATAAATGGGTTAATTTTTGTAACAAAATAAAATTTTAAAAAAGAAAATATCCTTTTTTTCTAAGACACATGCTGAAGAATCTAAAATATAATACTGAAACACCTCTAATTTACTTTGAAATACTACAACCAAAAAAACAAAAAAAATAGATGAAGCAAATCTGGCATAACGTTAATTATCAAATAGACCAAAAAAAAAAAAAAAAAAACCACACATTTCTTTTCCAATAAAGGCCAAGATGCAAGAGAAACCAGCAGTTTTGACCACTGCTGATGGGAGAGTATATTGGAAGAACTTTTCTGGACAGTAATCTTGCAATATGTGTCCAATGTCAGAAGTATGTGAAAAATGCTTAAACCCATCAAACC